CATAGATAAAATGTGATCAACAACTGAGCCAAAGGTATTCTAATTTACAGATGGTGGAATGAACAGGAACCAGTAAAGGGGACTGAGAAGCAGCAACTAGTGAGGCAGGAAGAAAACTAGGAAATTGTGGGGTCCTGGAAGACAATTATGAAAGTGAATCAAGGAGGAGGGACAAGACCAACTGTGTAAAATGCTTCTGTTACATTAAGACCGTTGATAGGTAGCTGGGTACGGTAGCTCATGCCTGCAATCCTAACACTTCGGGAGGCTGAGGCTTGAGCCCAGGAGTTGGAGACCACCCTGGGCAACAAAGACAGACCCCATATCTAAAAAAAAAAAAAGAAAAAAAGAAAAAAGAAAAAAATTAACTGGGGATGGTGGTGTGGGCCTGTGGTCTCAGCTATTTGGGAGCTGAGGTGGGAGGATCTCTTGAGCCCGGGGTTAAAGGTGCAGTGACGTGTGATTGCACCACTGCACTCCAGGCGGGGCAACGGCATGAGACTCTTGTCTCAAAAAAAAAAGAAAAAAGATGACGTTTGACAGCAACACCACAGAAGTGAAGCCAAGGAGGTCAGATGGTACTAACAGCAAAATACATGTCCTCCCACTCTAATCCTTTCTTTCTACTTGTGTGTCTGAAAATCCTAAGGCCTGGTGAAACTGATCTCGAGCTACTGACCTGATGTTAAGACTACTACAAACCTTTTTACCTACTCTGCGCAAAAACAGTGTATAAAATGCTAGGACAAGACCGGGCACGGTAGCTCACACCTGAAATCCCAGCACTTTGGGGGTCTGAGGTGGGTGAATTATCTGAGGTGAGGAGTTCAAGATCAGCCTGGCCAACATGGCGAAACCCCGTCTCTATACAAAAATTAGCTGGGTGTGGTGGCACACGCCTGTAGTCCCAGCTACTTGGGAGGTTGAGGCAGGAGAATCACTTGAACCCAGTCAGCCGAGATCGTGCCACTGCACTCCAGCCTGCGTGACAGAGCAAGACTGTCTCAAAAATAAATAAATAAATACATAAATAAAAATAAAAACAATAAAAACAGAAGAGTGTATCGTGGTAATTCAGGCAAGAGACAGTGGTGGCTTGCACTAGGGTAATAGCAATGAATGCGGTGAGAACTATACAGATTCTAAGTAATCTACAGGGTAGAACCAAGAGGATTTGCTGATAACTTAGATGAGGAATGTGTGACAAAGTCAAGGAAGATTCCAAAATTTCTGACCTGAGCAACTAGAGTGACAGAAATGCAATCATCTGAGACAGGTTTTGGGTAGAACAGGTTTGAGAAAGAAGACATGGACATGTTAATTTTAAATAAATGTCTTTTAGACATCAAAGTGAAGATGTAGAGTAGGGTAAGATATAAGAATCTTGAGTTTGGGAAAGAGGTCTGGGCTGGAGATAAAAATTTGGGAATCATCAGACTATAGATGATATTTAAAG